ACATCAATTCACTTTCAATTCGCTTATGAACATCTTAAACGTGCAATAAATATCAACAATATTTATAATATGAAAAAATTCTAGAATAGGTTTACTTGGAATCCTAAGCACCATTGCTAAAAATTTCTGTTTTAATCAATGCTCTTGTTGACTGTGGATGGGAATTATGTTAAGTGTAAATTGTGTCGTTATTTTTGGCTGTGCATTTGAAAGGCGGATTCTCCACTCTGGATCAACTGATTTTTTGCTTTAAAACTAGGAAAAAGTCCTCTTTTCGATGAACCAACTTAAATAATTTGCATAAGCTTGTCTAATTTCTTCCATATTACATGTCATCTTTGCTTTGGTGTATCGCATATTTTTTACATTTTTAGTGAATCTCAGATATTATGTATTTCACCTTGTATTCATTTATATTGATATCCATTTAGGCTCTTTAATTGTTATATTTTTCACTCGATAAGAACGTTTATTATTTATTATTCAGAAACAGGTGAGCCAAACTTCATTGTCATCATATATCAAAAGGTTTTTGGCGAAGCGAGGAATTTGCCTCTTATTGTGCTTCGGCTATTTCATTTGCATGCTCTTATACTTATATTTTTCACATTAAAACCCGAAATTGTTCCCTTTTTACCCTACTTTTAGAGAGACGCGTAAGCAACAGACTTGCCTAAATAGTTCCAGCAATTCTGAGACCTCTCAGAGTCCTTCATGTCAAGAAGCCAAATTAGAAATCCTTCGATTGCGCGCCCTCGACTCCCTCTTGGTTTGTCTCATTGACTCTCTGCCCAGATTAGCCAGTCTTGCGTCTTCCAAAGTAGTCGCGCCAGTCGTAGTCACTAATGGAGACCCGATCAGCTGTAGCCCTTCTTCCATGCTATCTCAGACTCAATTGGCTTCACCGTCTAGTAAATCTGATCGGGGTCGTCGCTTCTTACGCCGAAGCCAACGCCAAAATCAGCGTCGTCTTTCGAATGACCCTGAATTAAGGCAGTTAGCGCCATCGATCACTGGTACAAACTGTCCATCGGAGGATTCACCTTTGCATGATTTGACCACCCCACTTGTCAGCCACCTGATTGCGTAAGCTCACCCTGAGTGCCTGCTCCAGTTAAATGATTATTTGCAATTAATCAAACTTGTTGATGGAGTATAGAAAGCCGGGATACACTATAGATAATGGTGACCAATCCTTTGTCGATTTGTTAATCATGGCGTTATTTTATCTCACATTTCGGTTATAAGTTTAAATGCATATTATCGCTGATCGACTCTGTCCTCTTGTAAAACTGCCTTGCTTTTATCTACATCACGAACAATTTTCTTCATTATTTTCCCTCATTGAAATTTCATATAGTTTTTGAATAGAAATCTAATCACCTTAGGTCGTTTCAGGTGATTTAAGGACTGATATGACGTTTCTCTTGCACTGCCATTGTTAGGTCTCAGAATGCGGCGACGTCATTGCTACAGCTACGGATGCCAGTGGGCTATAGGGCAGATGATAGAATAAGCTAGACTTCTCAATCACATAATGGGATTTTAAATGAGAAAATGTCTATTTGCCATTTCAATTGCCGACATCACCTATACTTCGCATACACTAAATATAACTACAATTTATTTCTATCGATTTTTTTTCTATTCAAGTGCTGAGATGGGATGATGACACTTTTTAGTTTACATTCGTCAGCCTATCTGTTTCGCTTATTGCTGGTTTTTACTCATCTTCCAGTCTTATTTGAGGGGGTCACTTCTTGCAGTCTGTTTCTTTCATGCTGTCGCATTCCTCGCCACCTTTAGTGACCTATGGTTTGGCCCTGTTCTGCGTGTCAGATATATTTATGTCACCGGGGGAAATTATTTTGATCAACAATTTGAATAAATTTTTTGGTTATTTCCTTTTACGCAATTTTCTATAAAAAGACTTAATACAGTCATCGTTTTGTCTTCTTTTTGTTC